TTCGTACTCTGATTCTGTACTCGGATAGCCATCGTAGCCATACTGTACAAATACTTTAGCACTTCGATAATATAGTCGGCAGTCAACTTGGCACCGTTAAAGGGACTGTAGCACCGCCCAAATTTCCACGGAATCAAAGGCTATCTCATAGTCCACATACGCAAGGCAAAGTGACAGATTGTACTCTTCTGTCTTCTGTACAATTTGCCGAAGTGCGTATATGTGGTCTATGGTACTAAAACCTTTTCGAAAACCGGCTTGTTCGGGAGGCTGGAAGTCGTCAAGTCTGCGCGCGAGACGATTCGTAATGACTCTCGAAAACAGCACGTAGACGCGGCTCAGAAGGGAAATCGGTCTGTAGGTCTTCAAGAGAGCGTTATCGCCTTTCTTGAAGAACAATACCACCGCACTTCCGTTCCACGCCTCCGGAGTAGTGCCACCATGGAGGACGCAAAAAGAGCTTTTGAAGGACTTCAAGTACCAGTTTTCCACCCGCTTTCAGAAGCTCCGTTGTAATTCCATCCCCACATGGGGCTTTGCCGTTTTTAAGGTGCTGGAGAGCAATTCTAATCTCGCTCAGACTGACGTCCGGGATATCTTCGGAATAGCGTCTGTCTGTTTGTTCCAGCTAATCTCCGAAACGGCTGGACCGATTTCGACAGAACTTTCACTGGCATATATCTGATGTTATAAGGAGTAACTTAGGCTACTTTTATTTTAGAAAAAGAATTAGGGTTCTGAGCAATATAATTAAAACCCTAAATTACACGCGGGCGAAGTCGCGGGGAACAGCTAGTTTATGAATAATCTAATCTAATCCAATGTAATCAATATTATTTATGATGAATAATTTAATCTAATAATCTAATCTATTATTATGAATAATGTAATCAACGAACTATTAATAGTATTTGACGTTTGTATGCCCATGAGGCTGATCACAGACTGAACTTTATTTGTGTAAGACCTTTTTGGAAACTGTGAATCACAAATGAACTATTTGATTTGATTTATAAAGTAAAGTATTGAACATTTAGCTTTTATATTATTATATTTATATGTATAGTCACGGTGTGTTAAAAAGTTACAGCCTATATACGTCCCACTGCTGGTCACAGGCCTCCCCTCATTTCTGAGAGGGTTTTTAGGGCAAGGAAATGTCCGCCGCGCCGCCCCAATGCGTGTTGGCGAACTTCACATGTCTTCGAAATATTTGTTTTTTTTCTTATTTCTCAGACATGCAGGTTTCCTCACGATGTTTTCCTTCACCGGCGAGCACGTGGTAAATCAGCACTTAAAATTGCAATTAACAATTTCATTGGTGCCGGCGGGGATCGAACCCGGGTTGCTCGCGTACTGTGAAATTTACAGCGAGCGCTAACCATCTGAGCTACCACGGCTGTGTGTAGCAGTGTATAAAAAAGAAAATGGAAGCGGGCTTTGAAAAAAGACAGTCAGCTAATCTGCCAAAAGTGGATATTTTTATGGTTGCGCAGTATTTTTCAAAAAATTATGATTTTTTTAACATCAGAAATGCATGGAATAAACCTCTAAAGGTAAGTTGCTAATAAAAGATTACGAAAAGTATACAGCTTTACCATTGATTAGTAACTAGGCAGTAACACATAGGTAGGTATTAACTGACCGAACCACGAAGTTGCACATGATTTACGACTTAAAATGAAAAAAACTTACTTAAACTTACTAATCCAGTGAGTATTAATCAACTCGTATTGGTTATTTGGTACCTAGCCTGAAGTGAAGAAATTTTGTTGGTTACGTAGTTCGTCAGTGGTTGCAAACATATGGTCCTAGTTTTAAGGGAGAGCGGGGTTAAAAGTTCCCGGGGTAAATTGTTCCGATTGAAATAGCTCCGTGAGATTATATGATAAAAATATGTAACAAATTCGTCGTGAAACTGAACGTTGCAGCGCACCGACGGCAACCATCATAGTTTGGCCAGTGGCGACGGTACATCGGAAAGTGAGTTCGTGAGTCAGCTGATCCACGTAAGTAAATATTTTCATTTTTAATATTTATGGTCAATCTCACGAATCGTAATAACTAAATTTTAATTCTTTGGTGTTTTGATACAGAAATATATCGAGTATCTTGATATACTAAGCGTCAGTAGCCTAATGGCAGGGCGCGGACCGCGAACTCGAAAGGTCGTGGGTTCGAATCCGCCATTCGACTACTGTCGTGAACCACTTCTAACACAAGCATTTTAAGCTTACCAGAAGTGGTTAAAGGGAATATTAGTAATGTTTAATAACATTACTAGTATTTAAAAAAAAATACTACGTTAAAACTGCGTATGTTTCGTAACCTAACCTATGATTTACTTTTTTGAAGACATGTGTTATTGGGGCTACAAGTTCCTTTCTTTTGGGGCATGTTGTGACCTCGGAACAACTTACCCCAGTTTATCTGTACTAGTAATGCAGTAAAAAATATTGTTCTTTTTTCTTTTGCAGCCATCCATATGGATTTATACTCGGAAAACAACACGAGGTTCTGTATCTCAGGAGTTTATGCAAAGGGCGGCGGATGGAGTCATCAAATACTTATGGAAGAAAAATATAAACCGTTATTAAAGAATTAGATATTTGTCATGTGTATGACATTACACAGGTTTATGAAAAAGCTAAAATCTGGACTAGAAAACGTCACGTAACGTCACAAAAAAGTAAGATTGGTCTTTATTCACTAAAGAAAGAGCAGGAAAATAAATTAGCGAACTATCTGTTATCTGTTAAAATGTGCATCAATGGGCTCTTAGAAAGTTCGCAATATAACAGACACCCCCGAAAAACAAATTTAGCAGAAGAGCAAAGCAAGAGAAAGAAAGTGAGCACTGAGAATTAAGAAGCAAGAAAAAAAAAGGGAAGGGATAGGACGCAAGAAAAGAGAAGTTTGAAAGGTTTTTCAAACGAGCTGGTGAAGTTCTGAGAATGAAGAGGACAGTTTAGAGTATTATTGTCTAGTCTGCTGTGACAGTTACTCTAACTCAAGTTCTGGTGAAGAATGGGTTCAGTGTTAAGAATGTACGAATTGACACCATTCCAGATGTAATAAATATGGAGACTTGTTAAATGTTAACATATTTTTGTTCGAATTCTCAATCTGATGAATCATGTGATGATTAATCATTATGTTTTTTTTTTTTTTGTTTTTCTGGTCTAAGACGACTTTCTGATATAGTTGAAAGTAAATAATGAACTAACTTATCAATACTGATTAGCTACTCAAGCTATTAATTATATGTGTAATTGTTAATGTAACTACAAAATGTAAACTACAAATAACATAGGTATGTAAACCTTAAATATGTTTAGTTTATTAACAATTTAAGAGAAAACAATTGTTTATTCTTATAATATTATTGATTAGTTTTTAAAAAGTTGATCAAAGCAATAACTTTTGTTTTTTTTTTTACAAATTATACCTTTAATAAACCCCGTAACAAATTACCACATCCTATTAACAACTTACACCAAGACGGCGTAAGTTGTTACTTTCTGACTTTAAGTATTGTAATATTAAATGTAAAAAAATCTAACGACAAACGTTCCAAAAAGCCTTCTTTATATCATCGTTTCATATATTTCCAGATTGTGACCTGGTAAAACTAATGCTACAGCTATTTATTCTTATGTAAATATTATGTTAAATCAAAAACGGAACTTTTAGCCCCGCTCTCCCCTACTTTAACTTACTTTTGAATAAACTGATTGCGGTATTACGTTGGTAGTTGGTACCTATTCTGTTTTGAAAATGCAATGGTCGCAAACATTCAGTACGTGTTATACTAAACTGATTTTGATGAAATTTTGCGTTAAGGTATAACTTCATCTACAGGATTTTATCTTCTCATATCGGATTTTTATTCCCAAGGAGCGTGATATAACAGAAATTAAAAAAATATATATAGGTTACTGATAAATAAATAACATGACAAGAAAAATATGGAGTAATAAATATGGAGAGAATAAGAAATATATAACAATAAAGACTACTGGTGGCTTCGACGTGTCGATTTGTGACGTCACATCACGATGCGGAGTAAAGCGGTCGCCCTTACCGTAAAACACCACTTTCCTCATCAATATTTCAGTCATTTTTAAAGGTAGAAAAAAATAAGAATATCGTTGAATTCGTAATTTTTTATACAATTTTTTGATACCCTCAACAAAATTGGGTGGCCAGACACATTGTTAATTTGTAAGGTTGTCGAAGTAACTGTTTTGCAAGTGGTATTGAGGTGAACCAGTTGTCCATGGTAATGTTTCTGTTCGTGCCGTGTATACTGCGAGTAAGTTTCTTTACGAAGTACTCTCCTAAAGGTAAACCTCCTGTATTGGTACCTTTTCCAAGATACGGCATACAGTCCAGCATATACCTTGTGCTACTGTCACACATCATTTCTAACTTGACTCCATACTTAGCGGGTTTATTCGGAATATACATCCGAAATTTGCGTCTCCCTCGGAATGCCAGCAGCTGCTTATCTATGGTAACATTTGTTCCAGGAACATAATTTTGACGGCAGCTTCTTGAAAAATAACCATGTATAACGTTTTAAACTATTATGGTTTCAAAACTTAAAGTAAGTAGCCTGAATTCGAAAATTCGCTGGCCTATAACACTCATTCGCCTACTAACTTGATTGAAGGAGGGATGTAAAAATGTATACCTATCTCTATATATATATCTGTTTCTCTTTCTGATGGTATTGTAGTAAAATAGGTTAATTTATAATATCTGTTTTGCACACATTGCTGATATTACGTGCAGTCTACACAGTGGTGCCACGGTTAAACACATTCTAAAATCACACAAAATTACATTCTTTTCATGATCAGTCACGCACTAAAATATTTTAAAAAATAAAATTTGGAATTCCATGTCTAATGAAAATAATGTGTATATTGCCCAACATCACTTACTGTGCATAATTATTATCTTTCATGTCAAAGTATTTTTTTTTTCATTTGCAGCATTAAAATACCATACTTCCAAGCTAAATGATTATTCAGACCTTCTCGGTATATCCAGTTTTGGTTTTAGAGGTGAAGCTCTTAGTTCTCTTTGTTCACTGGCAAATCTTACTATTACTACAAGGCATCAAAGTGCTGAATATGGTAAACACTATTAATAAGATGTTATTTATAAATAAATAAAAAAATAATAAAAAGACAAATAGATAAACATTTGCTTTCAGCTACCAAAATAGAGTATGATCATAAAGGACTTATAGTAAGTAAAACACCATGTTCACGTCAAGTTGGAACAACAGTCACTCTGACAAATTTATTTTGCACCCTTCCAGTAAGAAAGAAGGAATTTCATAAAAACGTTAAAAGAGAGTTCAATAGAATGACAAATTTGCTATATGCTTATTGTCTAATATCATTAGGTGTCAAGTAAGTTGTATATAAGGTGATCCTGTAGGATTCATTTAAGCATCGAATTCATTATTCATTTAATTTTGATTGTTTCAGTATCACCTGTAGTAACCAAACAAATTCAAATTCTAAATCCTTAGTAGCTACAACACAAGGGTCGATGACATATAAAGATAATATAGCTTGCATATTTGGGTTAAAGCAATTGCAAAATTTATTGGATATAAAAACTGATTATATTCCTAACATAAAAGAAAATATTTTTAAAGGTTTATCAGGAGAAGTAAAAATATCTGAGGAAAGTATAAAGGTAGAAGATACTGAAATAGATTTGTCTGAAGATTCCAATGATGCAGAGAATACTGAAGTTATTAATTCACAAGACAGTGTATTAAATTCCCAAAAATCTCAAGGTTATAAAAATGTTCCACCTCTTGTAGAGGTTGCAGGATACATATCTTCATGTGCCCATGGCTGTGGGCGTTCTAGTACTGATCGCCAGTTTTATTTTGTTAACTCAAGGCCTTGTGAGCCCACAAAAATAATGAAACTAATTAATGAAATTTATAAACAATTTAATCCACATCAATACCCTTTTGTTTTTCTAAATGTCATCTTAGATAGAACCTCAGTTGATGTAAATGTTACACCAGACAAAAGAAAACTATTTCTTGTCAAAGAAAAACCTATTTTGGATATGATCAAGAGTTCTGTTACAAAACTATATGAAAATATACCAAGAATTGTTAAAGTTGAATCAGTAAATTCATCTAACAGTTCTATTGTCACCCCAGATATTGATCAACCTAGAGTTTTTAATTCATTTATGGAACAGTTTAGTATCAAACAGCGTAAATTAGATTCTACGTTAAGCGTTAATCAGAAACCTGATCTTAAAAGAAAATCTAACACTTTATTAGATTTTGCTATATCAAAGACCAAACGGGTAGAAGACAATGTACCTTCCAAATGTGAACGAGAGCAAAATTGTAAATCATTAGATAATAATAAATACGATGTTAAAATTGAAGAGCAAGAAATTACGAAAGTGGACTTGAATATTAATAATTCAAACGATAATTTACAAAAGTTAGATTTAGTTATTGATGCTAAAACTGATGAAAATGAATCAGTAAAAAACGGTAAAGATGTAATGTATTTAGAATATACAAACGAATTACCAAATACTCAAATCAGAAATATTTCTGATGTTATCACTGAGACATCACATACAATCTATTGTAAAACAAAAACTACGCCAAGAAAACCTGTTATTGCTAACACAAAAAAATATGAGAATACTAAAATTGTCACTGATAAAGAACAAATAGGAAAATTTAATAGAAAATATATTACTATGAAAACTTCTATTGAGCAAGTAACTAAATTAGCAGAAATATATTATAATAAACAGAAACAAAAAACTAAACCAGATAGGATAAAATTCAAAGGTGAAATAAATCCAGTATTTAACAAGAAGTGTGTAGAGGAACTGAGCAGAGAAATTTCAAAAGAATCATTCAAGAATATGGTTGTTATTGGCCAATTTAACCTGGGATTTATAATAACACGTTTAGATGAAGATCTTTTTATAATTGATCAACATGCTACAGATGAGATTTATAATTTTGAAATGTTGCAAAAAACAACAGAGCTAACTAGCCAGAAATTAGTTATGTAAGTTACTTTATACAAATTAAATTAAACTACTTTTACGTATTTTATCGGGTTTAATTAACTTATTTTTATCAATTCCCAACGTTTCAGGTACTTTACGGCACCCATGGTCACGGGGGACCACCATGCTGTAAAGCATCCGAAACGTCGGAAATTAATAAAAATAAGAAAAGTAAGTTAATTAAACGAGATAAAATCCGTAAAAGTAGTTTTATTCAATGTGTAGTATTCGCGTAAATATAAGAAATCATTACTTTATACAAACTTACAACTAGCTTTTTGGCGGCTGTTGTTCTGCTATTTCCGGTAGGTGGCGCAATGAGTTTCACTACAAATTCATTCCGGATTTTTTAGTGTAAATATAAAATTTATTAATATTCGGGTACTCGAGCACTGCGCCACCTATAGGATTTTCTTTTCTTGATTAAAGATGTTTAAATTATTTAGCTAAGATTCGCGTAAAAAATAAAAATGGCGTGTATTACCTGGATTGAAGAGCATCTCTCGCCCTCCTACAATTACGTGCACTATCCTCGTCGGCACCAATCATACACCAATACACTAGGAAATACACACCACCATCGATAATACGTCACGTGTACTTCTAAATGAAGAATCATCAGGAAAAATAGACTGCGATGGCTGACCGCTAAGTAAGCGGCGAGCCAAAACCGCTGCCCTTTTTATATAACTCGTTGACGTAAACGCTTCTAACCTAAGCAGTGAGCGACGTCATGTGATAAAACATGCAACCAACCATCCACCTGACGCAGTCGGTTGCTTTATAATTAAACAAACAAATGTTAGTTTTCTAAGCAACTTAGAAGTGGCTGTTTTTGATGAGTGAGAGTAAGTGATAACAATGGTACACGGTACCCCAATAGATGAAGAACTATGATCATGAATTTCGGGATTCCGGGGTTTCAAGGGATTATTCTATTACTAAAATCTCAAGCATACAGGTTTTTATTTACTCAGTATGAAAACCCTAAAACCATACATTTTGATCATTGATAAATAAAAATATTGAATTATTTTCGCTGCTCATTTTTATTGTGATGTTAGTGTTATCATTTATTTGTTTTATTATATTATATTATATGTTATTTATTAAAATATTACAGTAGGTACCCGAGGGAACGGAGTTCGATTCCCGCCGGTAGCTATCAAACTGTTAATTGCAATCTTAAATAAATGCTATGAGTAATTCAATAAATGAAAATAATTTCAAGGACAACAGTATTGGGGCAGCGCGACACTTCATTGCTCTAAAACCCTCTCATTAGCCAGCAGAGGCCCTTTGTCTAGCTGTGGAAAGTCTAGGCTATTGCTTTGAATTTTTTATCAACTTGCTAACTTCCAAAGCTGTTCATTTTCATGATCAAAAACAAACTTTTTAGGCGCACTGTTGGATTTGATGCAAAAATAAGCTGGTTTGGTATCTAGGTGGCTAATTTATGTCTACGTTTTCTCTATTTCCCAACCTCACTTAAAGATGCGGGTCAGGGGCGTAGCTACCGCCGTATCCGCCGTATCAATGATATGGGGCCCCCGGGCCCCAAACGTATGTAAGCAAAAATTCTAAGGACTTCTATGGGACAGGATTTTGGTTTGAATTGTTTGGCTAGCTTAGTTCCTAGGAGTATTAATTGTAAGTAATAACTTATAATCAATGTATAATTATTTTAATTCAATGCGAGAGTTTTTGCTCCTTTTGTGAAAAATCTTTACTCTTCATTTGGGCCCCCCGACAAATTTTGATACAGGGCTCCTCTAAGGCACGCTACTCCACTGATGCGGGTGCACCTGAACGAGGCTCAGGCGACCGACTGGTGGAGAATATCCATCCAAAATGCCCGATCTGAAAATAATATAAAACTTCTAAGCGATGATGAATTTTTAATATTGATATTTTATAAATGTATACTTACTTTATGTTTTTCTTCAGACCCCAACAGCTGGAACTTTCTGGAGTTAATGAAGAAATATTAATTGATAACTTGGAAATATTTAAAAGGAATGGTTTTACATTTGAAATTGATGGAAACGCTTTACCTACAAAAAGAGTAAAGCTATTAACAATTCCTATGTCTAAAAACTGGATCTTTGGAAAAGATGACATTGAAGAACTATTATTTATGCTGAGGGTTAGTTGCCTTATTATGTATCTTCCAGTAGAGACTTTCAAACCATACAGGAAAATCAAATAAAAAGGTAAACTTTTTGCTTAGGTAGGCTGATTGATGAAGGTAAAACGTTTTTATATAAAAAGTAGGATAATGTATATATGAAGCCAGAGCGAAAATAAATTCAAATCAACCAGTAAACAAAAACTGAAAATAATATTATGGATATTTTAAAATTAAGATTTATAAGAAAATTATTCACTAGTAATGTTAACCGGGAAAGTATAAAACGTATCAATATCAAAGTTATCATAATAATATAATACAGCCATTTATTTTCGAACTTTGGAGTTGTACCTATATTATTCTGTTTGAGTTCTTCCTATAGTATTAGTTATAAGTAAGTCACAGATCAATACAGACCAAAGGCGGATCGGAGGGTAGTAGCCATACACAGGCGTTCCCCTCTGTCAAAGTATATGAGCATATATCAATATATAAGTATGTCAAGTAACTAAAAGATAGGAAAGTTAGTTATAGTTACTCTTCGATAATGTGAAAAATTTTAAAATATGAGAAGGATATGGAGATATTAAATGTGTGAGTGGGGACGATTGATGAGTGAAAAAGCAAAGGACGCGAACAACAGCCATATATAGATTGAAAAACAGTGGTAGAGCTACGCGGCAGCCTTTGCTGTCGCACGGATGGGCCGGCTCGAACCGGGGTACCACGACGACCTCACAGAAAACCAGCGTGAAGTAGAGGTTTACCTCTGCGTTTCGCTTGGTGAGTGCAGGTGACCGGAGGCCCTTTTTACTGGAAATGAGGCATTCCATCTTAGTCCTCACGGGTGACAACGCATCTACATATTGATTTGTAATAGAGGATAGATATAGATGTCTATGGGCCACAGCAACCACTTACCATCAGGTGGTCTGTGTGCTCGTTTGTCACCCTTATCCTATAAAAAAAAGATATTTAACTTCCTCTTCCGTTACAAGGAGAAAATGAACAGAATCGTGTGGTCTCGGTATACTCGACAATGCGAGTTTTTTATAATTGGTTTAACGTTAATAATCTATATTTAAACGGAAATAAAACTAATTGTATTAAATTTACAACAACGAATGTTAAAAATCTGAGTACCAATGTGTTTTTAAATGGGGAAGAACTGAGCCCTGTTGAATCCACTGTTTTTCTTGGCATCACTCTCGACGCAAAGCTTCAGTGGGCATTTGGCCTCTCAGTATATTTACGAAAATTTAATGTATGTTCACAAAAACAAAGGTAGTTTTAGTAAAAAAAGTGATATATATTCTGGAAACACTAGGAACAAACACAAGCTAGTGATACCAGTTTCTCGACTCCACAGAGTCAGTAATTCATTCTTGGGGCAATGTATACGCTATTACAACAAGGTCCCGGAAAGTGTACAGGCTCTCTCTATTAGCAAGTTTAAATGTTTAGTTAAGTTGAAACTATATAAAAAGGGTTATTATAGTATAAATGAACGCATGGTTGATAATAACCCCTGGGAATGAGGTGATCGCTTCCAAGCTGTTTCTAAAATAAATTTTTACTTATATAGTTTGTACAACCATTAATGTAAAATTTGCTTTAAAAAAAAAGTCCCGCTGGGTTTCTTGCTGGTTCTTCCCAGGACAGAGGTTTTTTTTTCGAACCAGTGGTAAAGTAAAAAATGACTTTCAATAAGAATTACACATGTGATCTATATTGAATAAAAAATTATTCTATTCTAATTTGAATTGAAACTGGGATAAGTAGTTTTCTCCGTGTTTTCCCGCACAAAGGCTTGAATTGCCCTCTCAATTTGGTAACTTTGCCATAAGAATTATAATATTCCCAATAACCTCAATGACTAAAGCGTAGATCTACCAAGCCGGTGAGCGCGAGTTCAGATTCAACAATTTTTTTTTGTCAGTATTCCAGCTAGACAGAAAAATATTATTGACAAATTGTTTTACCGTACTTTTGTTACCGTTGTACCATACTTTTGACCGTGAGGTCAAAGCTTTGGTCGAAAAAATGTTTGACTATACTATTTTTACAGAAAATCGTTGTTTTATCGATGTACAATGAAACCTCTTTAATACTTTTTTAATAATTAAAATAAAAAATACAAAAATATATTATCTACTTAATTATCTGAAATTCTTAAAATATTGTGTAGAAACTCACTAGGCCATGTTTGGTCCCACTAATTGAAAATATTATGGTATCCTACAGATGGCGGTATAATGATCTCATATTTTAACAGATGTATTAAACCTAGTTTTAAAGATAGAAAGCAGCGCCAAAGGTGTAACGTTAGGAATGGTGGCAATTACAGCAAGTCATCTTTACTTTTTTTTAAGGGCTTTTGAGGAATTTCTAATATCCTTTTATTTAAGGTAATAAATAATTTTATAGGAAAATCAATCGGAGCACTGCAGACCAAGTCGAGTAAGGGCAATGTTTGCATCGAGAGCATGTAGGAAGTCAGTTATGATTGGAACAGCTTTGAGTAAAGCTGATATGAAGAAATTAGTTGATCATATGGCAGAGATCGATAAACCCTGGGTAAGAAATTGGTGTTATTATTGGAATTGTTTAACAGTACTATGTGCTCAGGCTGAAATAGAACTGTGAACTGACATTTACTGACGCGGGAGCGTTTATAAATTGATTGCATTGGGCTAACCATATGATATACAGTATCCAAAGATGGCTTTCGGGCTTTCGTTTTTAATAATTCATTCAGATGAATTTAGTAAATATACGAACCGCCCTTTGGATATATAAGTAATTATAATCATATATATATATATATGCAAGGGGCGGTTCGCTAGTATATATTATATACATATATACTAACGACCCGCCCCGACTTCGACTGGATAGGATCTATCGGCGTTATTTAGTTTTAAGATAATAATAGACCATTTATTTTATGAAGTTTTTTTTTAATCTCTTAGTTTTTCAGATCAAATATAGCCTAGATTTCACCTGACATTGCTCTCTATTGTTCGTTTTCATCACAATCTGTTTAGCCATTCCGAAGATTAGCCGGGACAGACAGACAGACAAATGTTTTAATTAATAATAACGTACTTAATAGCATTCTAATAGCCTGTTATTTCAATATTACAGACTGTTCCGTACTGGAACAGATTATTAAAATATTTTGTTTTTGGTTTCTTTTTTTTTTCGTATATAATAACAAGTACATGGCAACACAATTTCGAAGATATTATTTTTCTATATTTCTATTAAATTCATTGGGTTAGCGATCAACTGTTTTCATTCTGAATGCATCCATAATCTTGCGGGCTATGGTTTTCTGTGCGACACAAGCGCCACATCGATTGGCGGCAATTGTGAACAGTCTAATCAAAACCGGCGACGCGCGCGCATACAAATAATTTCGTGTTACTCAAGCTCATCTCTCAAGATATCTTTCACCTGGAAGTGTTGTACGTGCAAATAAAGTACCCATAGAGCAGTCTCGATCTAAAAGTAATGGTAATAAGGTTAGAACTTGTTTACATTGCAACGGTCAACATATATTAAGTTTCTAAATCTTTCTCCACAAGATAGATATTCATTCGTGCAAAATAAAAATATCTGTTTTAATTGCTTACATGTTGGACACGACGTTCAGAATTGTAAATCAAATTTCGTTTGCCGTTCGTGTTATAAACGACATCATACATTAATTCATTTTTCAACGCAATCGTTATTGGTCATTAGCGAAACGGCGGCGGCGGATAGTGCTATACAGATCCCGCCTACGAAAGAGCGAATGAGTGTTATCACGGCTGAGTCACCTTTTACCTTACCTGCCAACAGCAGCGCGGTACATAATAATTGCGCGTCCAATGCGCCTTTAGTTCGTACTAATATTTTTATTACGTGGTAGAGCCATGCTGCAGCTATATTAGTAGTATAGTTGTAGCAGGAATGGGTCTGCTCGACCGGGGAAGGACCACGCTCTCACAGCAAACTAGCGTAAAATAGCAGCTTAACGCTTGCTGTGTTTCGTATGGTGAGTGTAGAGAACCGGAGACCCTTTTTACTGGCAAAGAGGCATTCCATCTTAGTGCCCACAGGTGACAATGCATCTGCGTTTTGATTCGTAACGGGTGACAACGCATCTGCATCTTGAGTCTTTATTGAAGATAGATGTAGATGTCTATGGGTCACAGTAACCACTTACCATCAGGTGGACTGTGTGCTCGTTTGTCACCCTATCCTATAAAAAAAAATACAGTCCTATTATCTACAGCGCTCGTTGATATTTGCGTAGGTGAATCAAAGGTATCAACCGTTCGATGTATTGTAAACACGGGTAGCCAGGCGTCCTTTATCACAGAGTCTTGCGTACAACGTTTAGGTTTAGCGCGTAAACATATAAATATTCCGGTTTTTGGCATAGGCGATAGCAATCCTGTGCAACCTAAAGGTATAGTTTCATGTGTAATTGTTCCAAAGGGTAAACAGCAGCCCATTGTACCCGTGGATGCATTAATTTTGCCAAAATTAGTTACAAAAATGCCCAGTGTACCTCTGCCCTTTACAGGATGGTCACATTTAAAAAATTTAAACTTAGCTGACCCTGACTTTCACACACCCCAACCGGTAGAAATGTTACTAGGAGCGGATATACTATCCCACATTTTATTAGGCAACATGATTACTGGACCTCCGGGGTCACCTATTGCGATGAATAGCGTGTTAGGTTATTTATTATTAGGTAAAATAACGTTCGATACAATCGTTTCGACTCCACTCCAAGTATGTTTTAGCTCGTTTGACAACGACAATCTTCAAAGGTTTTGGGAGCTGGAGTCATTTTCTGAGAAATGTACTTACACTCTAGACGAGGAACTATGCGAGTCCCTTTTCCAAAAGACGCATACACGGGACGAGACAGGACGGTACGTCGTCGCCCTGCCATTCAAGCCCAATGCACCGCGCCTCGGCGAACCACGGCAAATTGCATTGGCTCGTTTTCGAAAATTAGAGTGTAGATTGGAACGCAATGTGCAGCTGAAAACTGATTATCACACGTGCCTCCATGAGTATAAGCACCTGAATCATATGGAGCTCGTTGATAGTGAGCCTTTGCAAGGTGCCAGCTATTATATTCCACACCACTATGTAGTTAAAGAATCGAGCGAAACAACTCGCACACGCGTGGTGTTTGATGCGCGTTGTAGAACGACGAGTGGTTTGTCGCTTAATGACGTTCTTCTAACGGGTCCCAAGCTTCACCTTGATATAGTAGACGTACTTTTAAAGTTTCGTGTTCATGCCGTAGCGTTCACTGCGAATATTAAACAAATGTATCGAAATATACTGATTCGTGAAACTGATAGGGATTTCCAGCGCATCTTATGGCGTAAATCGCCAGAAGAACCTATACGGGATTACCGTCTCCGAACGGTCACATTTGGTGTAAATTCCTCACCATATCTCGCTTTACGTACAATTCAGCAGCTCGCTCACGATGAGGCCGAGCATTTTAGGCTCGCGTCTCCCGTATTATTGAATGACGTATTTGTCGATGATGGTGTTTCTGGTGAGGATACGGAGTCTAAAACTCTCGCTCTGCAGCGAGAGCTTTAGACTCCGTATCGACATTTGTAAGACGACTGGATTCGAACTACGCAAGTGGCACAGCAACTCGTCAGCGATACTCGCTACAGTACAGCTACCAGCTTGTCATGGTGAGCGGCCCGAAAACGTCCCATTTTCTGAAATGGAGAACGACAAAAGAGTTAAAGTCCTCGGACTCCAATGGAATCCGCGATCTGATACATTTAATTTTAAAGTTCAAGTTACCACTCATAAATGCACCAAGAGGTCTATTCTTTCTAAGATCGCAAAAATATATGACCCTCTCGGGTTGCTATCACCGGTAACCTTATATGCCAAACATTTGATTCAGCTATTGTGGATAGCAAATGTAGATTGGGATGATAATCCGCCCATTGATATCATTAATTCGTGGACACGTTTCATAAACGAGCTGCCGCTGCTATCACAGATATCGTTTCCGCGATACATTTTCAGTAACAATATCGATTCGATAGAAATTCATGGATTTGCTGACGCGTCCCAGATCGCATATACCGGCTGTGTTTATATTCGACTTACAAGCAAGGACAGCAATATTTATACTTACCTAATTATAGCTAAGACTAGGGTAGCTCCGCTCCGCGTACCCCTTACCATCCCACGTCTCGAGCTGATGGCAGCTCTATTGCTTTCAAAGCTATTAGATAAGGTAGCAAATTTATACAGAGATCGCATCTGCCACGAACGGATTTACGCATGGTCCGACGCCACCATCGTGCTGGCCTGGCTCCGTTCATCACCGCATGAATGGAAGACGTCTGTTTCCAATCGCACTAGCGATATTCTATCCCGCGTTCCCGCCAGCTGTTGGCACCATGTTCCGTCAGCCGATAACCCTGCTGACGCTGCATCACGTGGCTTGCTACCTACCGCAATAGTACAACACGACTTGTGTTACCATGGTCCCGCATGGCTGCGACTAAGTCCCGACAACTGGCCGGTTGAGAAACAAACTATGAGCACCTGTGAAGAAAAACGTAACTTAACGCTATCTTCTGCTATGTCTACGACACCGCCGGTACAAAATGCCGAAATTATAATGCGATTTTCGTCGCTAGGCAAACTCGTTCGTATTACCGCACTAATATTTCGTTTTTATAATAAATGCAAATAGGTTAAAAATTCGTTCCCGGGTTACGTTACAGTACCTGAATATAAATTTCTCATTAAATCAACTAATTTACCTTACTCAACAATCGGTCTTTCAAGACGATATTTTAAAGATATCTCAAGGAAAATTACTTTCTAATCAATTGCGACGTCTTACGCCCTTTTTGGATAGTGACAAACTGTTACGTGTAGGATGTCGAATTCATAAATCATTGTTACTATTTGAATCTAAACATCAAATAATTTTACCGAAAAAACATGCTTTAACTAACTTAATTATCGACGACGCTCACATAAGCTATCTGCACGCAGGACCTCAGTCCGTGCAATACTTGCTGTTGCAGCTCTATTGGATATTGTCTTGCCGCGCCATCGTGCGTCAACGCATACATCGCTGTGTCCGTTGCTTTCGCGCTCGTCCAACACGTGATCAACCGATTATGGGACCACTACCAGCATCGAGAATACGTCCGGCGCGTCCTTTTCTTAAAACGGCCGTAGATTATGCCGGTCCATTTTTTGTTCGTGCGAAAATAGTGAAGTGTTATGTTTCGGTATTCGTATGTATGAGCGTAAAGGGCGTACATCTCGAACTCGTTTCGGAGCTTTCCACCGATGCAATTTTAGCAGCTCTGCGACGCTTCACGTCCCGTAGAGGATTATGTACGGATATATATTCAGATTGCGGAAAGAATTTTGTCGGATGTAACAATTATCTTAAAGACCTATACGCGTTTTTACGTAGTGATGTCGTTCAAGGTACAATTAATCAACAAACCCTTCAACAGGGACTTACGTGGCACTTTCAACCTCCGTATGCTAGCCATGTTGGAGGTATCTTCGAAGCCAGTGTTAAAAGTTTCAAACATCACCTGCATCGTGTGGTTGGAACTCGTACTCAAACTTACGACGAGATGCATACTCTTCTCTGTCAAATCGAAGCCGTGTTAAACTCACTTCCCCTTTGCGCCATGAGTTCGATCCGACCGATCCCCTCCCTTTAACACCGTCTCATTTTTTAATAGAACCCTTAACGGCTCTACCTGATGTATCTTTGCTGGATGAAACTCCTAACCGTCTCACACGTTGGCGCTAGATACAACAGTCAGTCCAGCACTTTTGGAAAAGATGGAGTAGAGAATATCTCCATCACTTACAACAGAGTAGTAATCATATCAATCATAATCGTCATGCTCGCGGCTCCGCCATTCGTGAAGGCACTGTTGTTGTGGTATGCGACGAGCACCTTCCGCCATTACAATGGAAGCTCGCGCGTGTGCATGCTGTTCATCCTGACTCTGATCAAGTCATTCGTTTAGTGACCTTAAAGGCTGGGAATACTATTTTTAAACGACCTGTAGTAAACGTTTGCCCACTTCCGTTAGAGTAATGTGTTATACTTACAATCTTAATCTTAGTACTTAAGTTATTTTGTTTTTATTTCAATTTATACTATAAGTTAGCGATTTTTTAAAAGAAATTACTTCTTTTAAGGTGAGCGGCATGTTCCGTACTGGAACAGATTATTAATATATTACGTTTTTGGTTTCATTTTTTTCGTATATAATAACAAGTACAAGGCAACACAATTTCGAAGATACTATATTTCTATTAAATTCATTGGGTTAGAGATCAACTGTTTTCATTTTGAATGCATCCATAATCTTGCGGGTTATGGATCTCTGTGCGACACAAGCGCCACATCGATTGGCGGCAATTGTGAACAGTCTAATCAAAACCGCCGACGCGCGCGCATACAAATAATTTCGTGTTATTCAAGCTCATCTCTCAAGATCTCTTTCACCTGGAAGTGTTGTACGTGCAAATAAAGTACGTAACGCGACCTATGGACTCTTGTGCGATACACTCTGCTGAACTTTGATACTACTATCGTTGCAACGACTGCCCCGAGCTCCTTTAGCCAGCCCCTTTATTCGTGGTTGCAGGGAGATTGTAGCGATAAGTCGCTAAACCCAGTAGAGTATCGTACACAGACATACACTTCAATTTTATTTATATGTATAGATTAATATATAGGGAAGACCCCTCATAGATTGCCTCATAGGGAGGAATATTTGCCATAGTTGCGACACTTGGCAGGCCGATTGGCAACCGCAGTTTGTTTCCTAGTTGTTATCAGGATGACGCTGCTACCTGGTTTGTTCCCTCTGTCCGCAAGTAGTGGATATTCTTACACATACCACTATATGGTTATAAAGTATTAAAAAATTATCATATGTGCCATGAAAAAACTTCAGAATCGACATTGCAATTCTTGAAATTACTGCTGACATTTAAATAATTCGCTAAAATAATTTATCTGTTTCTTATTTACAGAATTGTCCCCATGGAAGACCTACCATACGTCATCTTGTTAATTTAGCAATGGTAAATACGGATTAGGAAACACTCAGTTGCTTACAGTTTTGAAAATCATGGTAACTAAATGAATCTTATAAGATATTGAAATAAAACCTACACATATTTTGTCAATTTTATTTTATTTTATACACTTATTGTTTTAAATATATTAAAACCAGTATGAGCTGTTGTCACGATTACTCCTGGAATTTGCTTATGCCAGTGGAGCTCCTTTATATCTGTTTGTCCTTGATGAATGAATAGTAATTGTGGTGGCAAATTCTGTAAAAAAGACAAACTAGATATAGATATTAATTTAATATATACATTAAAATCAATCTTATATCCATAAAAAAGGTTTTGAATGTCTATAACCAAGTAGATTTTGCACTTTGACTAAACAACAGTTAATAGTACAGGCATAAAACCAGCAGAGATGAGATAATAGAAAATCAGTAGCCGCTGCTACAATGTTACGTCCATTGGAGCAATGACTTGAGACTACAAATGTTCTAGCACTAGTAAGTGCAACAGCAAGCATTAAATACTGTATATGTGTATTCCTGCTGACAGTGTTCATAAAAAAAAAATAAACATACCCTCCATTTTGAAATAGTAGATTATGTGATTAATGAAGTTTATAACTTCTCAAATAAAAATAAAAAACATTTTTTTACAAAGCACTTGTACAAATGCAAAACTACCAACTGTAATATTAATAATGATATAAACGGGAAAAATGTTTTTTTATATTAATCTTAAAGGATAATTTGGAAGTAATAAGTTTATGCAGGTCTAAATTCCTGATTTGTCTATATATTATTATTTGAACGGCACGAAAATACGGAATTGAATAAAGTGGGATATGATATTTTATGTTCACCTTCAACTCTTCGTCAACAACATCATCATCATCTCTTTCGACTGCTAAATCCCACAGAGCAACTTGATTATCTTCTCCTGCTGACGCTAACACACTTGGTTCCGTCCAGTGCCATTCTACTGATGTTATTGGAGCTGTATGATGCTTGAATGTTCCTACTGGGGAATTGCTTGTAAAATGCCTTAAATCCCATATATGAAGAAATCCATCATCGCCACCTGCAAGTAAAGATATTACGTTTTTATTTTTGGAATGTTATGCATTAATGGTTTCATTTTATTGTAATCCGTTTTTAATGAAATGTCCTAAGCTGCCTATACGCAGTATAAAATTTATGCAATCAGAAGGTGTGCTGAAGTGTTACTTGTCATGTGAGTATAAATAACCTAATCCTTTGACCACCAGAACAGAAACGACATTCGTATTAAGACTCCACATATAATTTTAGCTACAATTTTGTCTATTTTCAGTAGACGAAATTGCTTTCTTTTTTCTTATTTGTTTAATATTAATTTATAATCTTATAGTGCTTACGCTTAAGACTTTTATTAGCACTTATGGATAGGATGGAAAATGTCCTAAGGTTGTATATAAATGTTTATAGATTTAAATTTTACTTAGATATAGTGTTAACGTAAAGCCGCGTATCGATTATGCGCCCCAAGAGGTCGAACATTGGCGCGCGTTCCAGCCGCGCGAAATGGATACCGCCACGGAACGCGCGCCAAATTGTTCGTTGGAACGCTCAAACGTGGAGCGGGCCGCTCCATCTGGTGTCGGTTTTTTACCGCGTAACCAAGCGCTCGGTTGTATTACTTGTCGCTTAACTTAACGTGAGCATTAATATGAACACCTAAGACTTAGGTACTTGCTAACGTGACGCGTGGTGTTGCACTGCCCGCGTGACGAGAAAATAATAAATGTGTTATTTAAAACGAATAAGTACATAAGTAAAATATTTAAATCTTTCGCGGACCATATTTTTTATAGGATAAGGGTGACAAGCGAGCACACAGTCCACCTGATGGTAAGTGGTTGCTGTCGCCCATAGACATCTACATCTATTCTCGTATGCGAATAAAAATGCAGATGCGTTGTCAGCCGTGAGGACTAAGATGGAATGCGTCTTTTCCAGTAAAAAAGGGTCTCCGGTTCTCTACACTCACCATACGATACACAGCAGCATTAAGCCGCTATTTTACGCTGGTATTCTGTGAGAGCGTGGTCCTTCCCCGGTCCAGCCGACCCATTCGTGCTACAACTATTCAATTAATATAGCTGCAACATGGCTCTACCACGTAAAAAATATTAAATATTTAAGCTCTTGCGGACCATTGGTTGGGAATCACTGACCTAAGTGCTTAAAAAAAAAAGAGAGATATTGATAGTGGATTCGGAACTAGCTCAATTGAAAAAGTCTATATTTACTGGCACAATTGAAGTTTACATTTCGAAAAGATTGTAGCGAAACTATTTTCAAAATAAATTCGCTTACTAAAATAATAGTCGCAAAAGTGCAAATAATATGAGATTGTATTAGCAAGTTACCGTCGCGATGGCGTTCCATGAAATAACTTTAACGGCGCCGCGAATCTCAATTTTCTTCATTTCTTTAATTATCTTTTTGATTTACTTCTTTAATCGAAAGTAGTGTAGAATTAATGAATTATTTATACTTGTATTTATACCATTATTAAAAGTCTTATTAGTGCAGGTATGAATAGTTACTTCGCGTAACCTTACACATTACATTCCGCGATCTTTTTTACCTCCCGTTATATAACTATTATTTTTTTGTAATTACCGCTTGCAATAAAAGGTTCCTTATTATTCCATGAAATAACGTTGATATCATTTTCATGAGCATTTTCGGCCGTCAGCATACACGCTTTGTGTGGTGGTGCGCGTGTATCCCATATCCTTATTGTCTTATCGACAGAACACGACGCCAGTACATTGCTGCAATAAACACAAATACTTATTATAAAGGAAATGCCAGTTTTAAAAACAAAATATTTGAAGAAAATTTCAACATGTTAGGATTTAAAGGTGGTTGTCGAGATAAATGTTATTATTTAGATCTGACTTAGTATTTATTTTAAATCTTCAACTTAAATAAGACTACGAAATAATTATTATGTGTTACATTTACAATATTTGTATTTATTACATCTACATCATATTTTTAATGAAAAGGGTTTGTACGGGTGAAATTGCCAGGTTGTGTAGACAGCTAGCTGATTGACGAACGAGGCTCTGGTAAACGAAAGAAACAGCTTTAATTCAACAATACACTTTGTCTTAGCACTGCACACTTGGACTTAATCAATTATCTTATTTAAAAATTATTTTATTACTGTTTTTCTAAGTCGATTTTTAGCTTATTTTAATTTAAGTATTCTGACCCTTCTGAGTGGACTAAACAATGTCAAGGTTACATCTAGAATATCGCCCTAATAGTCTCATTAAAACATCTTCCCTTATTTTTGCAAATGGAATGCAGTGCAGTGTGCAGTGGAAATTCTCTTCAAATTTATATGGGATCCTTATCCTAGCCAATTAAACCCTAGCTAAAATAGCCAATTTAATAAACAAAGAATCGTTACAACCGATTGTAACGAAAGCATTTACTTTTTTTAATTTATTAATTATTAATAATAATTAAAAATCAAGGAATTTGGTTTGCTGCTGATCTGAGATGACATAAAAATGAAGTAACATCATCTGTACAGAGATTGTGAGGTTGCTTGTTTTCTTTCTATGTTTGACACCATTGGGGATGATTTATTGGATTTCTTCGCCATGTGAACAGCAGCAAAGTTTACTATATTATAGATGTACCAAACCTTCCTCTCCTCTACCCAGGATTTTAGCTCCAATAACCTTCATACTAGATACAAATGACGACCTGATAAGAGGCCATCATTTGTTGTTCAGTTCAGAATTTTTATGGGCTGTAATGTTGATGATAATGATGATGATGATGAAAGTAATAAGGGGTACTTTTTTCGGATAAGAATAGTGTAGAGTAGTAGCTTAGAGTCTGAGATAATTTAACAAGATTAATTACCGTTCATTAGGCGACCATTGTATGTCTTCAACTGAGCTGCTGTGTCCCACAAGAGGGCGTTGATCTACTGTCCATGTACCACCTTCATTAGGTTTCCAAATGTGTATATCTCGCCTGCAATCACCTGTTGCTAGGACCTATAATTTAAAAAATCAATCGTCAAATACACTTGTTACCTAGCATGTGTTACAATTAAAGGTAGTGTTCGTCTGTATGTCCAGCCTTTTCTCCATCACCACCCACTTGTGGTTGCAGTGGTAGAAGGCCCCACGTGTGCACTTGCAAGCAAAGGAGTTTGTTGTGGGTGGTAAAATTGTTTGATGAGATACTTCTATCCTATTCTAACACATTGTACGACTCATACAAGCTCAAGACTGCGCTGAATGGCGTAAATTACGTTTGTGCGTGATAATATCGAGAACTTTTCTACAATATTCTAGATTTTTCCAGAATGTTCTAGAATATTCTAGGATAGTTTACAATTTTTAAAAGGAGCTACGATAAAATGAATGTAGTTGATCCAGAATGTTGTAAATTGTTCTCAAAATTCCACGAATGATCAAGAAATTCCATCACAAACACTGAAAATTATTAATTATTATAATTGTTATCGATTTTGAATATTCTAAATATTTCTAAATTGATTTTCAATATTATTTAAAAATAATTTTAGACATTAGAAGTTCTAGATCTACGAGTAGATGGTTTCAAAAATATCTAAAACATTCTAAAAAATTATAAAATATATTTAAATGTTCATAAATATTTGTAAATGATTGTAGTGGATGTAAAATGTTTTAGATCATTTTAAACTTTTTTAAATAATCTAAATAATTATAAAATTTATTTAAATGTTTTAAAGGCGATTAAAAATAATATTAATCGATTTCTTATATTTACGCGAACACTACACATTGAATAAAACTATTTTTACGGATTTTATCGCGTTTAATTTACTTATTTTATATTCCCGACGTTTCGGTTGCTTTCCAGCAACCGTGGTCACGGGGGACTGAGGTGATTGACGTCCCGATGTCAAAGTTAACCAGGAGTACCTTCAGCTTTTTAATTATTAATTTTTAATTTCGGTCCGATCTACGCAGAATGAACTAACTGTGTCTTGAAGTCTTACAGTGGTATGCTTGGGTTTAGTTTTAATTTTATGAATTACAGGATCCCAAGCAGGTGGTAGTACCCAGCCTCCCTCTCTATTGAAATTAGGATGTTAAATACAACAACTTTTATCGGATGAAAGTACGTACGTAAAGGTCAAAACAGATCCTACAACTAATACGCTTAAAACAACTAGCGATCTAATAAAGAAATACTCCGAGAAACTGAATCTAGACGTAAATTCGATAATACCTACGTGTGCCAAACCGCCGAATTTGTATGGGTTACCAAAAATACACAAACCGAACGCTCCATTACGTCCAATAGTGAGTCAGATCGATTCGCCAACTTACAGATTGGCTCAACACTTAGCAAAAGTACTATCACCACTCAGAGGACATACAAGAGCACACACTAAGGATTCATACCATTTTGTCAGTGAGATAAAAGACCTATGTCTTACTGACAATGAAACTATGGTCAGTTTTGATGTTCAGTCTCTATTTACATGCCTACCTGTTGAAGACTGCATCTCAATTATAACTAGGAAACTAGAGGAAAACAACATGCCAGCAGAATATGCAGTATTACTCAGACATTGCCTTACATCTGGCTACCTATTGTGGAAGGAACAGTTTTACAAGCAAGTAGATGGTGTTGCGATGGGCTCACCGGTATCTCCCATTGTCGCCGATATTTTCATGGAGGACTTTGAGGAGAAAGCCCTGCTTACTGCACCAGTAACTCCAAGTTTCTACAAGCGGTACGTAGACGATACTTTCACAATTTTACCATCAGACAAAGTAACTGCATTTTTAGAACATCTTAATTCCATAAACTCTAAAATTCAATTTACTATGGAGTTAGAGGCAAATAATTCTTTAGCTTTCCTAGATGTGTTAGTCATTCGAAATCCTAATAACACCGTAGGTCACACTGTGTATAGAAAAAAGACCCATACAAACCGATACCTAAACGGTGAATCCCACCATCACCCTTCACAGTTAGCTACCGTGGGCAAATCTTTGTTGCAGAGAGCACGAGGGATCTGTGACAGCAAACACCTGGCCGCCGAGCTTCAGCACGTCAAGCAGGTTCTGCACGACAACAAGCTTCGGGTTCCGCGCCTACGTCACAGTGACCGAGTGAAGCCGGCCACAGTCGAGCGTGTGCCTGCTGTACTACCATATGTCAGAGGTGTCACAGACAAGATTGGCTACATCTTGAAGCGAGCTTCTATTAGAACATTCTTCAAGCCGCCGAAGAAGATTAGTCAGTTCTTACCATCCGTCAAGTGCAATATTCCTCTACAAGATGCAGGAGTATACAAGCTTGATTGTGAGTGTGGTCTCTCATATATAGGGCAAACAAAACGATCAATAAAAACCCGCGTAAAAGAACACATAGCTGACGTGAAGCACCAACGTTCCGGGAAGTCTGCAGTTTGTGATCATATCCTAGACGGCCCCCGTCATTACATTAGATTTGATAAACCACAAGTCCTCGCGAAAGAACATCGATTCCTGCCAAGGATGATACGTGAGGCTATTGAAATTAAAAAACATCCTAATTTCAATAGAGAGGGAGGCTGGGTACTACCACCTGCTTGGGATCCTGTAATTCATAAAATTAAAACTAAACCCAAGCATACCACTGTAAGACTTCAAGACACAGTTAGTTCATTCTGCGTAGATCGGACCAAAATTAAAAATTAATAATTAAAAAGCTGAAGGTACTCCGGGTTAACTTTGACATCGGGACGTCAATCACCTCAGTCCCCCGTGACCACGGTTGCTGGAAAGCAACCGAAACGTCGGGAATATAAAATAAGTAAATTAAACGCGATAAAATCCGTAAAAATAGTTTTATTCAATATTAATCGATCTATGAGGTCTTGGAATGCTCTCAAAATTTATCTAATCTATCATATATCAAAACTAAAAATTATTAAAAAATATTATTATCAGTCTAGAATATTCTAGATTATAGATATTCTAGATTATTTAAATGTTCAAAATTATTCAATAATGATTTGAGACTGTTTGGAAAAGAGAATAATCTTGAGATTTCGATTCTGGAATATAAATAATGCCGAATTCATGCAGAGTATCAACGATTTTTTGAATTTCAGTTTAATTGTGCATTCTAGAAAGTTTTGGCACTAGAAATTTCGATTGCTGACGGTATATAAGCGGGAGTGAAAGCTTTTCTTTTGTCAGTCAGATTTCAGTAATCCTCTAGTGATAATCAATAAATAAAGCCAAAAACTAATCTTGAAGAGTGAATAATCCAGAAAATTCTATTCTGTAATATACATAAAGTCATTACGTGCAGAGTTTCGATTTTTTGCATTTTACTGCGGTTGTGCAGTCTAGAGAGGTTTGGAACTAGAAATTTCGATTGCTGACAGCATATAAGCTGGAGTCAACGCTTTTTTTGTCCTGACTGATGAATGAAAAACTGATTATATAACCATTAAGTGTGCGATGTTGTATTTTGATCCTGGCAACACCGGGTTTTGCTGCTAGTAAGCATTAAAACTCCCTCCAACCCCCCCCCCCCCTTGTTCAAGCAGTATAAAGTACTGCACAGGTAACTTGCTTAGGTCATTCCAAAATTCTTAAGTGCAGTAGTATACAAGCAAAGGTTACTTGTAATGAATTTCAAAAACATTTAATAATATAAAGTCGCTATCAAGAAGGTTTTATTTCATTAAATAGTTTTGAGAGTATTTTCTAACACATTACAATACCAAATAAAAACTTTATACTTACACCTGGTTCTGTAGGACACCAATCAATACCAAAGCCTTCTTGTTGGTGTCCATTGAAAGAGTAAAGTGGTTTAACTGGGTTTGCTACAGTGTCAAGATTGTACCTTTCGAGAAGAGCTGGATCATCAACAGCTTGTAATTGTTGTGTTATATTCCAAATGTCCACTATACCTAGTTCTGACCAACTTGCAGCTAAAACTGAGTTTTTAAAATTTGTTGCCTGTAATATAGATACCCATTATAACTTATGACTGTGACAATATTATAGTCTAATTAAAAATCTTTATACATTAAATTTCTAACGGGTGATCCAAGTAGAGATACTTTTTTCAATAGCCTTTTTTGACAGATCACGTGTGAGTCGTGTCATGCTTTCATGTTATTTTTGTTTAGTATTGTTCGGCATTTCATAATGGAAAGACTTACGCCTGAACAACGTTTACAAATCGTTCAACTTTATTACGAAAATTCACGTTCTGTGAGGAATGTGTTTCGTGCACTTCGCTCAACATATGGTCAACATAATCGGCCTACTGAGCGTACTATTCGCAACACCATCACCCATTTTGATACCCAGCATTCATTATTGGATAATATTCTACCGAATAGACCACGTCTAGCACGCTGTGAAGAAAATATAGCGGCCGTAGCTGAGAGTGTACATGAAGACCGTGGAGAGTCGATTCGGCGCCGTTCGCAGCAACTCGGACTGACGTATGGAACGACTTGGCGCATTTTACGTCGAGATCTTAAATTTAAAGCGTACAGAATACAGCTTGTGCAACAACTGAAGTCGCTCGGCCTTCCCAAGCGACTTCGCTTCGCTCTATGGGCTCTTGAAAAGTACCAAGAAGATCCAACGTTTTCGAGGCAAATTTTGTTTAGCGATGAGGCCCATTTCTGGCTCAATAGGTATGTAAACAAACAAAATTGCCGCATTTGGGACGAAGAGCAACCTGAAGAAATTCAAGAACTGCCAGAAAAAACAACGGTTTGGTGTGGTTTGTGGGCCGGTGGAATCATCGGTCCATATTTCTTTAAAAATGATGCCGGTGCGAACGTAACCATCAATGGCGACCGTTATGGTGCCATGATAACCGACTATTTGATGCCTGAATTTGAAGCTCGTGATCTCCGCGCCATTTGGTTTCAGCAAGACGGCGCCACTTCCTACACATCGCATCAATAAATGGATTTATTGAGAGAACATTTCGGTGAGCACATAATTTCACGTTTTGGGCCGGTCGATTGGCCACCAAGATCGTGTATTATCACACCGTTAGACTTTTTCCTGTGGGGATATATAAAGTCTAGTTTATGCGGACAAACCCGCTTCGATTCAGGCCTTGGAGGAAAACATCACGCGTGTCATTCGCCAGTTACCAGTCGAAATGCTCGAACGAGTCATCGATAATTGGACTCAACGGATGGACCATCTGCGACGTAGCAACGGCCAACATTTGATAGACATAATCTTCAAAAAATAAATGCCAAAGAATGTTCTTTGAAATGATAATAAACATTCTCCATTAAATTTGAATATTCTGTGTTTTTTTCTTTAAAAAAGTAGGGAACCTCGAAATGGATCACGCCTTATTATAACACAAATTCGAAATTTAAGCTGCGTATCGACTTCGCGCGGCAAACGAGCGAACATTGGCTCGCGCGGCAGCTGCGAACATGGCTCGCGCGGCAGCTGCGTACAGTGGATACTGTGTTGCCGCGCGCGACAATTCGAACATTGGCGCGCTCGAACGTGCCACGCGTCAAACCAATCCGTGTCGGTTTTTGAAGGCACGGCAAGGAATCTCAGTGAGTCGTTTACGTATTTTAGTTGGCGCGCGTGGGAAAAACATAGATAACGACAAGTGTCGTACTTTAATTATGTTATATGATACTAAACAATTTCTATGGAACAGTAAATGTAGTGATTATCACAACAATTCGCTGCACTTCGCCGACGTACAATGTCCATGGTTGCCGCGCACAAAATGAACGTTCGTTGGCGGATCGGCTGCCGCGCGCCGATGCCTCACTGTAGTTTAAATTGTGCGCTAAAATTGGCTCGCGAGCCAAAACACAGGTTTGCCGCGGACGAACAATGCTCGCATAGCAGCCGCGCAAAGTCGATATGCAGCTTTAAAAAACCCCTGAAAAAACAGCTTATGACCTTGAAATGGCTGAACTGATTTTGATAAAAAAAATTCTATGAACCACCACTAAAAAACCAGATTTAAAAAAAAATCTGCTCCCAAATCGGTTCACCCGTTTAAATGCTATGATTCCACAGACAGACAGACAGACAGAAAAACATAGCAGTCATACTTATAACACACCTCTTTTTGCGTCGGGGGTTAAAAAAAGAAAAAATGAGTTGAAATCTAACTAACCCTTATTCTATTTACACAGCCTTGATGTTTGATAAATGAGAAAGTCATATGTGGTTTTTTTTCTTCATCTTCATCTTCATCATCATCATCATCATCTGATTCTAAATCTTCATCTTCAGTTTTTGACGTAGGATGCAAGTTTGACATCTTTATTACAAGCACACTGTAAATTATAAGCACTCATTGATAAAATTTTGATATATAAAATATAGACAATAAAATTTGCAAAATAACTATGTATCACACATGGGATGTCACAGAATCACTCAACATTAGAAAAAAAATATTTTCAAACTATCCAGATAAACTTAGACATTAATAATTATTATGACACAAGTGACATAAAGCAAGGCAATGCAGGATAAATGTGATATAGGGCCGCCTTTCCTCAAAACAACCTTCATTTACTTATACAAAAAGAATTACCACAACATCAATTAAAAGACCACCTGATGAGTAATCAAAGTTAGTTGCCTATACCACACTTTATCCTGCTTAAACAAGTGGGAGTTTGAGTGTTCTATACTCTCTCCTTTTTATTTTCAACCTTCATTTACAGTACTATGTTATGAGTACCTTAGTTATTTCAAATTCGCCCTAAAGTGTTATTTGCTATAGCCTATCGAAAGTCGGGTTGGCTTTAGTAATCTGCGGCATGATTCGCATTCGTAAGTGATCATTTTAGCTTTAGTTGACAAGCAATGATGCTATTGATTACCATCTACCTGCTTTTTATGCTGGAAATCTTTAGTTTTCGAGATATCGATAATTATAGTTTTAAGGTTATATCCATTTAAAAATGATACGAAAACGAAATAACAATATAATTATTAGAAAGAGATAGCAGTAGAGGATGGTCTATATCTGTTTTAAAAAATAACATGCAACAACAATATAATTTTTAGAAAGAGATTGCAAGGTTTGTATGATCTGTTTATTGTGCTATCCTAGGGTTGGGTTTAAATTCAAGTTGTCTGAATTTGAGGAGTCTGTCACTGTGGGGGGGTCAAGGGGGCTTATCTCAAGCTCCCCCATGCAATTTTAGCAGCCACAGCTGCGTCGAAATATTTAAAATTATTTTCTAAAAATATTCATAAATCACTAATTAATACCTGAAACTGAACTTTTAACATTGACAGTCACAGGTATACTCAACCAAAGAGAATATAATCACTACGTTATACATTTATTTCCGACTTCGTGACTCGTGTCATAAGCGTCATTTCGTTGCTTCAGAGTTTACGTGAATGTGCTCCTTATTGTTATTATCCGCCTCCTGTTTTTCGACGACTTTGCTACCCCTCTGGAGACCGATTGCTTGCTATTTTACGACGTTTTTGGAAATGGTGGAAGTAATAAAATATGTTTATTTATTAAAGTAATTATAAAAGTTAACATTTTGGTGTTTTATTTGGTGCAAGAGTGAGCGAAGCGAGCTCGGGACTTGGGGCACCCCGACTCGGACAGGTTAGGTTAGAAGGGATGGCAGAGTCGAATGAGCGAGCGAAGTGAGCAAACCCTCCATCCCCTACGTGGTTATTTTTTTATAAACCATCCAGAAGTCGACCGAGCTTCCCTCGACTGCGCCACGTTGAGTAGCGTTGGACTAACCTCCCTCAACTCTCTCCCCCCACAAATCAGGTTTATATTTTCAAAAACATTACGAAAACATAACCTCAAGATGACATCTTTAAAAATTCATAAAAATAAGGGCAGGGTTTCCGGCACTTCCCCCTTTTAGAGGGAGGTTACCCCTCCCTCGCCCACTCAGAGACAAAATATTCATGCCGCAGATTACTAAAAACATACCCGAAAGTCCATTACTGAATATAGTTTTCACCATTATTTGCCTTATATGGTTGTTTGACACTATGTATTCTATAGTATTAGTAATTATGTTTATTTGTAATCGATGCATTTATTTTCTTTTTTGGTTACACACAATTATATTACTATTACAGATGTGCTGTTTGTATTACATCCAAAATTGATTGCTCAAGGGCCGAAATTGTACCAATTCACAATAAAATAAAAAAAATTATAGGATAGGGTGACAAACAATACAATTATATGAGAATGACATCATAGGATTAAGTTAAATCGAACACACAATAAGAATCATCAAATCAGCTTTTATAGGTTGGCAAGAGTTATTATAGATCAATTATTTTGACACAGATCAGTATCAGTAGATTTTCGATAGCATTGCTACAACTTCTGGAACTTTAATTTAGGGAAATTAAACACAAACAAATTTACTATGTTACTGACAAATTATACCAAATATCACCAAAGAAGAACTATAATATGAATGTTAAAACGAAAACATTCGGCTTGCTTACCTATTAAGATGTGCGCTAGACGCCTGTGTCCCAGCTACTAAATATGCGGCCATTGGAAATTCATTTCTGTCATTACCTAAATTATCCGTGACTATATCAAAACTAAGACAAGGGGCACCAGTCTGTGCCTGATGTAGCATAACGTACGCTGACTGATCACAAACAAGATGTTCATCATCTTTTAAGGGTTGACCTGGCAAGTAAGTTTTAGGTTGTTGATCCTCATCATTGCTCCCTTCTTCACCTTCGTCCATTTCTTCGTTTTCACTTTCCGAAGAACTTGCATCCATAGTTTCATCATTTTCATTAGACATTATTGAATATTTGTAAAACTTGAAGAAGTTAACCAAAAACTAATATATTTAAAAACATGTGGAAGTGACAGTGACACTGACACTGACACAGACCAGATCAGACCTCTATGAATCAGACCCTATGATCCACAGAACACAATTATTACTCTCTATCAAGAGAAGAACGCCAACTTCATACTAAAAAACGGAAACACGTGTTTATGAGTGTACACTAAAAGCGCTACGGTAGACGCCCATATAAAACTTTTTAGCGGTAATTTCAAACAGTTGTATTCTGTAACTTTAAACTTTTTATTTAAGGCGTATTCGAGTAACTTTGGCTCAAGCCTCACAAACCTATGGGGTAAATTCCTATATATTTAACTTATTATTTTATATTCCCGACGTTTCGTGTGCTTTCCAGCACCCGTGGTCACGGGTCCCTGGTATATAGTGTATTATCTATGGTCACGGGGGACTGAGGTGTTTGACGTCCTGCTGTCAAAGTTAGCCCGGCTACCTTCAGTTTTTTAATATTAATTTTTGGTTCGATTTACGCAGAAGGAGCTTACAGTATCTTGAAGTCTAGCAGTGGTATACTTGGGTTTGGATTTGATTTTATTATTTATTTATTTATTTATTTATTTGGTCTACCAACGACTGTTACATACAGAAACTTAAATTAGTTACATTGTAATAAACTATTATGAGCTAAATGCACAATCAGTTACAGGTAAACACAGCGTGCTATTTTAACATGTGACATAAGTACCTTTTACATTGATATAAGGTTAATTTTAAACTAGTTATTACAGATAAAAGATAGGTATAATTAATCTGGGACTTTTTTTAACAAATGTACACGAAACTGGTTAAGTTTAAGAGAGAAAACATCCTTGGGATCATTAATAAACCACGTATTTAATGCGTTACACAGATGAGGAACTGGTGAATGTTTTCCTAAAACAGTCCTGCGGAATGGCGGATAAAATAGAGAAACGGGTTTCCTTGGAGCCCTGAGCGGGATCCTGAAATTAAAAAGGTTTAGGAGCTGAGGGCAGTCGATTTAATTATTAAAAATTTTATAAGTGAATATTAGGTCCAAAAGGGTCCTTCTTTTATTCAACGAGGACATTTTAAAGTGTTTGAGGTTTTCATGATAGGATAACTTTTTCTTTGAAACTTTGGAGATGTGAGATAAAAGCCATAAAAAGCGTTTTTGGACCCGTTCTATTCTTAATATGTGCGTGGCATAGTGTGGCCTCCATACAACAGGGCAGTATTCAAGAAGACTGCGTACTAGTGCTTTGTACAAAGTGATACGTGTCTGTAAGTTTTTGAACACTTTACTGTTTCTAATAATAAAACTCAGCATATTAGATGAGCGCCTAACAATGCTTTCAATATGTGGTACGAAAGTTAATTTGTTATCTAGAATTATTCCAAGGTCCTTAATTCTATCAACTTCTTTTAATGGTTTACCATCAATATAATATTTGGATTTAGTTTTACTATGTTTGCGTGTAAATTTAATAAAAAAGCATTTATCTATATTTAATTCCATCCCATTTGTACAGCACCAATTGTATAACCTATTTAAATCATGTTGTAACATAAGAACATCAGCTTGGGACTTAATAGTTCTGGCAATTTTCAAATCATCTGCGAATAGATAAGGCGTTGAATAAAGGAAACTATTGGGCGTATCGTTGATATAGACGTTAAAAAGAATTGGCCCTAAATGCGATCCTTGAGGAATTCCTGAGGTTATCTTGTGAGCTTCAGACTTATAGCCTTTAGCAACAACGAAGAAACGTCTATTCGTTAGATATGAATTAATCCAGTTGGAAAAAATTCCTGTAAAGCCATAGGCAGCAAGTTTGTCTATAAGAGGTAAGTGGGGTATTTTGTCGAAGGCTTTGCTGAAGTCTGTGTACACAACGTCTACTTCCTCCTATTTATCTAGAGCTTCAGCAATTCCTTCGACAAATGTGACTAAGTTTGTGCAAGTGGATTTCGATTTTAAAAAACCATGCTGATGTACACTGACGTCTTGCTGAAAATGGCTTTGTATAGAGGGGCAAACAACAGATTCAAAAACTTTTGCCATTGTCGACAAAATTGAGATTGGTCGATAATTCGATACGATAGTTCTTGTCGCCAGATTTATGTATTGGAACTACTTTGGCTATCTTCCAAACGTTTGGAAAGGCACCTGTCAATAAGGAGTAATTAAAAATGTATTTTAAAGGTACAGCCAGTGTTATAGCACAGTTTTTGATAAAAATAGGTGGGATTTCATCTGGGCCTGTGCCTTTATTTGTATCGAGTGATTGTAGTTTTTTTAGTATTGACTTCCGAGATATCGAAATAGTCCCAAGGCTGAAGCTATTTTGTGCTATATAGTTGAGATAAGTAGAAGTTGGACTGGCTACATTCTGAGTTCCTGAGTCTGTTATAGCGAATGATTTCGAAAATGATTCAAGAAATAAGTTGCATATAGCTGGTCCGTCGGATTCATAAATAACCCCATCTGTCATAATATTCGGATAAGAATTACTTCCCTCTTTTCGCGATTTTATAAATGACCAAAAGTGTTTGGGATTTTTGTTGAGCGTCTTTTCAGTCATTTCAATATAATTATTATATAGGTTTTGTTCCAGTTTTTCGCATCGTTTGCTAAGTAATTTAAATTCTACCTCATCTAAAGGATTGTTATATATTTTATACCTGCGATGTAATTTGTTCTTTTCTCGAAGCAGTCGTAGGAGTGATTTATTAACCCACGGAGGATATTTGTTCTGCTTAAACTCAGTACACGGTACATGAATCTTAATAATATTATTTAGTACGGTGTAGAACTTATCCATAATTTCATCTATAGTGAGGCATTTGGAAAACAATTCCTCTCAGTTTATTTCCGCAAGACAGTTATTTATAGCATCATAATTAGCTTTATAGTAATTATTTTTCTTATTATTAATATTGTTACTAAGTACGTGGTTCGTATTAAGCACAATTTCAATTTCTAATGGAGGATGTTGTGGATCAACAACGGAGAGATTACTTAAAGCTAATGTGACATTACATACTGGTAAATCAGTTAATACAAGATCGAGAATTCTTTGGTTACTGTTACGTATTAAGTTATATTGAATAAAATTTGAAGTATAACAAAAGTCTACTAGAGTTGTATTTATTTTTGAAGTTTGGTTATGTACTGTACCCGAGTTTATTGCATTCCAATCAATAGTGCCCAAATTAAAATCACCAATCAAACAAATTTTACCTTCAAATTTATCAAGAATAGAGTTACAGTTTTCTATGTACTGTTCTAGCATAAATAGTTGTACTGGAGGAGGGAGATAAACAGCACAAATTGCTATGTGTTTTGAAGAATCTAAGTATGGTACCTTTACCAATACCCAAAGATCTTCACATTGACTTTCCCAATTAATCATTCGAGTTGCTGAAAATTTCTTAGAAACAGCAATAAGCACTCCCCCTCCATCCTTTTGAAAATGGAACCCAGATGATTGCCTATCCCTTCTAAAGACTTCGTAGCGGTTATCACATAGTTCGGAGCTTAATACACTTTCATTCAACCATGTTTCGCTTAATACAATGATATCACAATTTGTTAATAATAATTTACTATAAAACATATGAGTTTTGGTCCTTAGACCTCTGGTATTTTGATAGTAGACAGATAAACTATCCATTAAGCGTACTAAGTCCACTGAAACATGGTTATGAAGCTTTATTTTAAGTTAGAAAGAACACTATCGTCTTTAATGTATATGTACCTTGAAACGTCACTTTTACGCATGAATATACGTCCGCCTCGCACCCACACGTATTTATAATCCTTATGGGATCCCAAGCAGATGGCAGCACCCATCCATTTTCTCTATTGAAATTAGGATGTTTTTTAATTTCAATAGCCTCGCGAATCATCCTTGGGAGGAATCGGTATTCTTTTGCGAGGATTTGTGGTCTATCAAATCTAATGTAATGGCGGGGGACCATCTTGAACATGTTCACAAACTGCAGACTTCCCGATACATCGGTGCTTCACGTCAGCTATATGTTCTTTAACGCGGGTTTTTATAGATCTTTTTGTTTGTCCTATGTACGAGAGATCACATTCACAATCCAGCTTGTACACTCCTGCATCTTGTAGAGGGATATGACACTTGACGGATGGTAAAAATTGACCAATCTTCTTCAGCGGCTTGAAGTATGTTTTAATGGAAGCTTGCTTCAAGATGTAGCCAACCTTGTCTGTGACTCCTATGACATAGGGTAGTACAGCAGGCACACGCTCGAAAGTGGCTGGCTTCACTCGGTGAATGTGACGTAGGCGCGGGACCCGAAGCTTGTTGTCTTGCAGTACTCGCTCCTTCTGCGTAAATCGAACCAAAAATTGATATTAAAAAACTGAAGGTAGCCGGGCTAACTATGACAGCAGGACGTCAAACACCTCAGTCAGACGTTAAACACCTCCTCAGGGTTATGATCAGACCAGATAGAGAAAGTTGTTGTTGTTTTTATTATTCGCTCGAATGAGCAGGCAAAGGAGCTATGCCATACAGCCTTGTCTTTTTTATTTTGAGTATATAGAATTTCACTGCTTCACAATATGTTGATGCGTCACATTGTGCAGCCCTTGGGAGATTTTGACGGCAACTTGAGCCAGCAGATAGCTGACAGTTGGCGATGGTATCTAAAGGCGTCTATGCAAACAAACAACTTATCTTGAGAATCCATCACCATCAGAGCACTTGTTTCACCGTTTCCAGTAATAGTTCACATGCGTAGACAGTTAATACATAAAATCGCACCACTTTTACATATCAAATTCCACATCAAACTATTATTTAAACTTTAATACAGGAACAGCAAACCGCCGCCGGTCAAGTTCCCACTAAAACCCCAGATAGAGAAAGACACTTAGCTTCGAAGCTTGTCTTTTAAGCCATGTCTTCATTCCTCATTATTATGTTATATTCTTCACAACC